GTGGACTAATCGGCCTCACAACCTTCCTCTTTTGAAACTTTCGTATTCCACCGTAAGCTGGCATGATCATATTGAGGAGTAGAAAACACCGATGACAATCACAAACCGGACATGTTTGTTCTACCATTCTTAACCTGAATGCATAGAGCTCTGCATCACAGACACAGTTAAGGACAGTGCCCAACGCAGCACCATGAGTTGTCCACCCAATTCGGTTAACAAATGGATTAAAAACCGTCTGTACATAACCCAAGGTAAACATTTCTTGGTTTAGATGCAAAAATCAGGGAATACCTTGTGAAAATGCTTCCATGCTTCTCCATCTGATGGATGACACATTTCTCCATCACTCGCTAAGTGCTCTGCATGCCATCTCATATATTTTGCAGTATTATCAGACTGATATAATCTCTTCAATCTATCAGCTACCGGCAAATAAAACATTTGGCGGTATGCAACTTTTTTTCTGGCCCAGTCTTTTGAGTAGGACGAAATCTATCCTTTTTACAGAACAAACAACTTTCTTCCTTTTCAGCATCTTTCCAAAAAAATCATACAATTATCTTGACAGACATCAATCTTCTGGTAAGGTAAACCCAATGATCGCATAAGCTTCTTGATCTCATAGTACGACTTCGGTGAATTGTTACCTTCTGGCAAAATATTCTTGCATTATCTGAGCTATCGAGTCCATACAATTCTGAGGCAAATTATAATCTGTCTTCAAACTCATAAGCTGAGCTGCTAAGGAAAGTTTCGAAAGACCTTCTTTACATCCATGATAAATTGGTTGTTTTACAGCATCCAAAGTATCGTAAAACTTTTTGGCCTCAGGATTAGGTTCTTCTTCCATTATCTGCTCAAAATCTGCCTCTGTATTACCAAATGCATCTGAAACCATTGCCACATAAGGATTCATTGGCTCTGTATGAGACTCAGACCTCAAAGCAGCTTCTTCTGAATCATTGTTTAACATACTGTAATCTTCTCCATGTGAAGTCCAAATCCAATAATTAAGCATGAAACCTTTATTATATAAATGTGTTGACATGGTAGCTTCTTTCAATAGCTTTCCTCCATTCTCACACTTAACACATGGACAAAAAAGCTTTCCACTCTCCAGAAAATAAAGGTTGACTTTTTGCAAACTCGATAAAAGATTTCACACCTTGGCAATAGGTTTCCGAAACTTGATTGGTTGTATGATCGATTCTCTCATACATCCATTGCCTTGTAGCATATACATCACCACTTGAAGACATTTAGATACCTGAAATAATTTTTGAGAAAAATCAAGTTCATACAAACAAATGGAAACATAAGAAGAAACATACGTTAATGTATAGATTTCTAACCTTGTCCCTTCCTCTTTTGTAACTCCAGAAGTTATCGGTAATAGGCAAGACACTCTGTGTGGTAAGCTGCAGCTAGATGATCTTGACTAGATCCTTAATCAATTCCTTTAAAAAACAATAGAGACAAGGATTTCGAAAATTGGTCAAATTCTGAAATTTCAAAGGACCAAAGATTTTAGATTTAGCTGATCTATACTAGGGTATTAATTGGTGTGAATCGCAAGTTTTAAAAGGATAATTGTGTGTGTGAGGCACGGTGTTTGATAGGAATAAAAACACAATCAGAAAAAGGAATTTTGTTGAAGCATGATGTTTCAAAGGTTTACCTAATGCGATTCTATAATCTGAGGTTCTCTCCACTGTTGGAGCTTCAGAAGTAAGGTGGTGTCAAATTTGACGAAGGTCAAATCCGGGTTATTTGATGAAATCTAAACCAAAATCAACTGCATATAAAAAACAAATTCAAACAAGGAATTTCAGGAAAAAACGAATACAGCTAAAAAAAAGAAGAAGAATGCAGCTACCAAGGTGAAGCTGATCACAAATTCTTCAGGTCATAAGCTGTTTCACGCAACAGAAATAAGATCATCAATTCTCTTTCGATGGTAAAAAAATAATAATTAAATGAGTCTACAGTATTGATTTTGGGTCGTGAATATTGGTTTAATACTGGGTTTCGGTTTAATTTTAGTGTGTTGCTTACACAATTTAAATCAATTTTGGTTTAAGTGTTTTGATTTGGTTTAGCTTGTGAACTAAGAGTAACGTACTTGTCTAGGATGAGAACCCACATCTGACCACAGGTCCCGCGCAAGGCGTTGAAGGATACGCACCACCACATATGAATCAACAGAGATCAATGTCCAGCAACAGATAAAACTAAGTGTCATCTTCTGCGGTTTATCAAGCTTTCCGTGGTGCACTTGGTATCTTTCAAGCCATTGATGATGGCATTGCTGGTCAGTCTAAGCGCTAGAAGAAAATCTCAGTTGATAAGGGAGTATGCGGCTAATAATTTGGTCAACACGTAAGAACAGTTTTACTTAGTTCTCGCAGGTACTGATTTTTTGTGTGCGGCTTATGGTATCTTATAAGAGCAACTCTTTCGGATGTAAGTTTGATTAATCTATCCAAATATATCATTATCGTCACAATATTATCATTCTCCCAACAAAATAAATCTTTGTTGATGAAAGGATTGAATGAATATGCTATATCACACGTTCTTTTCCTTTGTTAATTAAGTAAAGGATTGAATAGATCTTCCTTGATTGCTGGAACTAACATGAATGAGTTTTACTTTTTTTAGCTTACTCTCATCTATATAAATAGACTTTAGATTTAGATATTTATTTCACTTTATTTGTTTCTTTCATTTTATTCTCTCAGTTTTTCTTTCTAAATTACTTTGCACATATTCTTCTCCATTACCTCTTCAAATCCCAAAACTTGTAAGTTTTTATTTATGTCATGTATTGAATATATGTTTATGTTTGATTAATTTCTAAATTTCAGGTTGTAGAATGTGTTAGATTAGATGGTTATATTTTTTATTAAACGGTATGTATGTGTTTATATGTTAAAAAAATCAGTTTCTTTTTATAATTGAAAACCTTTTTTTATCTGTAATCCATTTTTAATATTTTTATAATAATAAATATTTATTTAAAAATGTTTTAAGAAAATTATAATCTTGTTCTTTAAGTTATAATTGATGTAAATGGTTTTATATTTGATTTATAATTTTTTTGTTCATGTTTATAGGAAATAATCAGAACTGATCGAAATGCAAAATGATCAAAAAGCAGAAGAAATACAAGTTATTCAAGAGATAAAGCAAAAGAAAAAAATTGATTTTAGATTTGATTTTACTTTTTATTTATATATACAATATTATAATAAAAAAGTTGGCTAAGAGGATACTTATAATTTATTTTTCTTTCTATTTATTTTTTTGTTTCATTTATAATTTCGAATTCTTGCTATATAATGAGAATTCATTCACATATGATATAAACGTTTTTTATTTAAAAATAAGATTTAATTAGTTTTAACTTAACCAATCAAAATGTTTTGTTTATTTTAGGAAATTTGTCATTTCACATTTATGAGGTGCATTGTTTTGCACTAACTTTTCTAGGTGTTGACACATATAATTGTTTTAGTAAACATGCTTCTCAAATAATAGTTAGAATTTCCATAGTTACATTGAAAACAAATTTTCAGGATAAATATAACAGGGAAGCTAAAAAAATTTTCACCTTTAACATTTTTCATTTGTGTTTTCCTATTTTGCCTTTTAGAAAGGTCTTAAATGTTTTTTTTTTCTGTTAATGTTTCGTGATTTTTTAGGAAAGTCTTACAAATAGTAGAATTTAACAACGTTTCCTACGATTTAGGAAAAGCTTTCCTAATTTTTTTTAAAAAATTCTGAATTATTGAAGGGCTTCATGAATTGTGAAAGAGTTTCCTGAATTATGGAAATGCTTCCTCGAAGGACTTCCTCAATTTGAGTTGTATAAATTAACAAAAAAATAAAATCAGTTATACGATTTACGAAAGCATTCCTAAATACATGAAATGACTTCCTTATTTATACATTTTATGAAAGTTTTCTTAGAAGTTTAAAATATCTTTCTAAATTTTACTCTCATCTTTTTCCTCACATCTGCGACATCAAAACTCTAATTTTCGCCGATTTCCTTTTTGTCAGCATTGTTTTTGTTTTACCTCAGGTTTCTTGAGCTTTTCACCTAATTATATCAGATATATCTTCCATTATATGATTTTGAGCTTTGAATCCTGAAATCACTTTCCGCCACAAAGATCTAAGATTCACAATCATAAATCAAAATCAAACGAGAAGAGCGATCTTAAATAAAACAAAGGTTCGAATTTTAGATCAGCCTTGGCCATTGATACATTTGTTTGTATATTATTTTTCTTCTTCTTTTATTGACTAATGTTTTTATCTAACTAAGGTTAATATGGTCAAATCTTTAGTGAAATATTATGGAAGGAATTGTTTAAAATATTAGTGTATATTAAGAACAAAAACTTAGATTAAGTGCATCTAAGGAAATTTCTCTATTTTAATATAATTTATGTTTTTATGTTAAAAATATTTATGGAAATGAAAATCCTAAAGACTTTGATGGCATCCATTGGTTTAAACTTTATCGTTAAATGTAAGGAAAATTTATAAGAAAAAGAATGATTATTTCTTTGTAACAATAGAAATTAAAAAAATGTAAACAGAATATGTGATAAGGCTTAGAGAGAATCAGATTCAACTATAAACATCAAGATTAGCTTCCAAAATTATAAAGATTTCTTTCACCTTATGAGGCTGACTCGGAGTGGACTGGATTCGTGTCGCAAAGGCTGTGACTTTGAGCTTTAGTCCGAAAAACTCATAGATACAGAAAGAGAGAGATATGTGCGTGGAAATGGCGCAACTATAAGAGAAACTGAAATGAAACTCCTTTTCTTCCTCAACCTTATTCTCACTCTAATTGGTTTGTCACTTTTGTTCCTGAACAACTCACAGAGTTTGTGTGTTTTTTATTCCTTTGTCTTTCTGGGTTTCTCAGAAATTCAATCTCTTATTGAAAAATCTTCGGTGTCACTGATTCTGAACAGAACATGGAGGGTAAAGATTTGGAATTTGCAGTTAATGGAGAGAGATTCAAAATCAACTCTGCTGATCCTTCTACTACTTTACTCGAGTTCTTGCGATTCAACACTCCTTTCAAGAGTGTCAAGCTCGGTTGTGGCGAAGGCAATCTCTCTCTCCCTCTCTCCTCTCTTTTGATGTTTACTGTTATAAAAGGCGTTACCTTTATGCTAAGAAACAATCTTTACTTGTGTAGCTGTGATATTATGCAATCCTTTATAACTAGAATTAGTGAAACTGAGGAACAGAGAAACTCAATTTTGTGAAATCAAGTTTGCATCTTTCAGATAGATTTAATTTCTTGACTTAGAAATGTGTTACCTTTATGTCAAGAAACAATCTTTATAAGTGCAGTTGTCATGTTCTTCTTTCTTTTTAACTAGAATTAGGGAAATTGAGAAAGAGAGAATCCCAATTTTTGTGAAATCCAAATCCGAATTTTGCATCTTTCAGATAGATTTAATTCGTGACTTAGAACTGTGTTACATTTATGTCAAGAAACAAACTATATATGTGTAGTTGTTATGTTATGGTTTCCTTTTAACTAGAACTAGTGAAGTTTTTGGAACAGAGAAACCCCATTTTGTGAAATCCAACAAATCTGAAAGTTTGCATCTCTCAGATAGATTTTAAAGATCTTGACTTAGAAATCTGTTTGTAATTTAGTGCAGGAGGGTGTGGTGCTTGTCTTGTAGTGTTATCAAAATACAATCCAGAGTTAGTGCAAGTGGAGGAATGTAGTATAAACTCTTGTCTCACACTTCTCTGTAGTATCAATGGATGTTCCATCACAACATCTGAAGGTCTTGGCAATACAAAGAAGGGATTCCACCCGATTCAGAAACGACTCGCCGGGTTTCACGCCTCTCAGTGCGGTTTCTGCACACCAGGAATGTGCATTTCTCTCTACTCAGCACTTGCAAATGCTCATCATAGCAACAGCTCAGGCCTCACGGCTTCTGAAGCTGAGAAATCCGTGGCTGGAAACCTTTGTCGATGCACCGGTTATCGTCCCATTGTCGATGCCTGTAAGAGTTTTGCTTCTGATGTTGATATTGAGGACTTGGGGTTTAACTCCTTTTGGAGAAAAGGAGAAAGCAAAGAGGTTATGTTGAAGAGTTTGCCTCCTTACAATCCAAAAGACCATCTTGTGACCACATTCCCTGAGTTCTTGAAGAAGAAGAAGAAGGTTGATAATGGTTTGGATCATTCGAGGTATCATTGGACTACTCCTCTAAGTGTAGTTGAGCTTTATAAAGTAATGGAATTTGCTAATTCTGGAGACTCGTTGAAGCTTGTTGTTGGGAACACGGGGACAGGTTATTACAGAGACGTGGACCAGTTCGATAGATATGTCGATATCAGCCATATTCCGGAGATGTCGAAGATCCAGAAAGATGAGAAAGGAATCGAAATCGGAGCAGCTGTAACCATATCTAAAGCTATCGATGCTTTGAACGAGGAGAGCAAATCTTGCTACGTTTTCAAGAAAATGGCGACTCGTATGGAGAAAATCGGCAACCATTCTATCAGGAACTCAGGGAGTATCGGCGGTAATCTAGTCATGGCACAGAGCAAGAAGTTTCCTTCTGATATCACCACGCTTTTACTCGCTGCAGATGCGTCTGTGTATATGTTAAACGGCGAGAAAACCGAGAAGCTTAAGCTATTAGAGTTTCTTGAATTGCCTCCGATATTAGACTCCAAACGAGTTCTTTTGAAGGTTGAGATTCCATCTTCGACTTCTGATATACTCTTTGAAAGCTACCGAGCTTCACCTCGCTCTATTGGAAACGCATTGCCGTATTTGAGTGCTGCTTTCTTTGCACATGTGTCTCGCCAAGAACCATCAAGAAACGGCGTAAAGGTGGATAAATGTTTGTTGGCATTTGGTTCTTATGGCAGCGATCATTCAATCAGGGCGACAGAAGTTGAGAAGTTCCTAACCGGTAAGTTTCTCAGCTACAATGTTCTCTGTGAAGCTGTGTGTTTACTAAGAGGAATCATAGTTCCCGGAGAAGACACTTCGCACCCTGAGTATAGGAAAAGCTTGGCTGTTGGATTTCTTTTCGACTTCTTCTATCCGATAATCGAGAGTAGCAATATAATATGTAGTCTTGATCCTGCGAAATCTCTTCCCTTCCTATCATCTTCACAGCACGTGGTAGAGAGCAATGAGTTTCAGCCTGTTGGTGAAGCGGTTATCAAAGTTGGAGCTGCATTACAGGCTTCTGGTTAGGCTCTTATGCCCTTGTGTTTTTATTATTTTTTGTAACTTGATTTTGGCTTCAAGCCTTCGCTTACATGAGCCTTTTTACTCTCAGGTGAAGCTGTTTTTGTTGATGATATTCCGACTTTACCGGATTGTTTACATGGAGCATTCATCTATAGCACAGAGCCTTTGGCTAAGATAAAAAGCATAAGCTTCAGTGAGGACGTGACTCCTTGTGGAGTTTTCGCTGTTCTCACTTTCAAAGATCTTCCACAAGAGGGACAAAACATTGGTTCCAAGACCATTTTTGGACCAGGACCTTTATTTGCAGATGAACTAACTCGATGTGCTGGTCAAAGAATTGCTCTTGTGGTAACTCAAAATTTCTCTTCTATAAGGTCGTCTTTCTTTGTATAACTAATAAAAAAGTATGCGTCTTTAAAGGTTGCAGACACACAGAAACATGCAGACATGGCAGCAAAACTTGCGGTAATTGAGTATGATACAACGAACTTAGAACTACCGATATTAACCGTCGAAGATGCGGTTAAAAGATCGAGTTTTTTCGATGTTTATCCCATGTTTTACCCAGAACCAGTCGGTGATGTTTTAAAAGGAATGAAAGAAGCTGAGAAAAAAATAATCTTGGCTAAGGTATCACAACTCTGTTTCTTGATCTTTACAACCAAATGTTTGTAGTTAACATCCTTCTCATGTGTGTGTTCTTCAATCCAGTTTAGTCTTGGGTCACAGTACCACTTCTATATGGAGCCACAAACAGCACTTGCCTTGCCAGATGAAGACAACTGTGTGAAAGTGTTCAGTTCATCACAAGCACCTGAGTATGTTCATTCGGTAATCGCTACATGTCTTGGCATTCAAGAGCATAACGTGAGAGTCATCACCAGAAGAGTTGGAGGTGGATTTGGAGGTAAAGCTGTGAAGTCAATGCCTGTAAGTAATCACAAGAATTGGTTTTTCTTTGCTAGTTTCTTCTCTGAAATCAAAATCTTTAGGAGAGTTTTGTTATGTAGATTCTTCACATGTTGTTAATTCAGTGAAGAGTTTTGTTAATTGATTTCTTAGCAGGCAGTTTCTTCCCTGAATAAAGATGTTTAGGAAAGTTTTGTTATATAGAATCAGGTTGCAACCACGAGCACATGCTGTTGCAACCTGAATCAATATAGCAAAACTATCCCAAAGATCTTGTTTCAGAGAAGATTTTTGTTAATTGGTTTCATTGCTAGTTTCTTCTCTAAATCAGGATCTTTAGGATAGTTTTTTGTTGGTTTTTTTTGCTAGTTTCTTCGCTGAATCAAGATCTGTAAGGAGAGTTTTGTTTATATGGATTCAGGTTGCAACAGCATGTGCCTTGGCGGCTCACAAACTGCAGCGGGCTGTTAAGATGTATCTGAACCGCAAGACCGATATGATAATGGCTGGAGGAAGGCATCCGATGAAAGTGACTTACAATGTCGGTTTTCGATCAGACGGGAAGCTCACTGCGCTTGAGCTGACAATGCTGATAGATGCAGGGATCGAGCCTGACGTGAGCCCGATCATGCCGCGGAATATAATGGGTCCGTTAAGGAAGTATGACTGGGGAGCCTTGTCGTTTGATGTTAAAGTCTGCAAGACGAATCTCCCGAGCAGAACCGCCATGAGAGCTCCAGGGGAAGTACAAGGCTCTTACATAGCGGAATCCATTATAGAGAATGTAGCTTCTTCTCTTGGAATGGATGTTGATGCAGTGAGAAAGATAAACCTTCATAGTTACAGCAGCCTAAGGAAGTTTTACAAGGGCATTGCTGGTGATCTTGTTGAATATTCTCTGCCTTTACTATGGGACAAACTTGAGATATCTTCAGAATTCAACCAAAGATCTGAGATGGTTAAGAAGTTTAATGTATGCAATGTATGGAGAAAGAGAGGGATTTCTCGAGTACCGATTATCCATCAGGTTATGCAGAGGCCAACACCGGGAAAGTAAGCATTTTGAGCGATGGTTCTGTTGTGGTTGAGGTTGGAGGGATTGAGATAGGGCAAGGATTGTGGACTAAAGTACAACAGATGGTTGCTTATGGTCTCGGTATGACCAAATGCGAAGGAAGCGAGAAACTGATGGGAGAGAATACGAGTTGTTCAGTCTGATACGCTCGGTTTGATCCAAGGAGGTTTCACTGCCGGTAGCACGACGTCGGAGAATAGCTGTGAAGCCGTTAAGCTTTGCTGCATTATCTTGGTGGAGAGGCTGAAACCTTTGATGGAGAAGTCAGGTTCTTTGACTTGGAATATGCTTATTCAACAAGTAAGTAGCCTAGAGATTCTTGATCGTTTATTTAAACAAAGACTCTGTGTGAAGTAACCCGTAAAGTTTGAATTCTTTTTTTATCAGGCTTATGCTCAGTCTGTGAATTTATCAGCGAGTACATTGTATAAGCCAGAGTTTACTTCCATGGAGTACCTCAACTATGGAGTTGGAGTTAGCGAGGCAAGTCACATGGCAAACTATTCTTTGTTTAAATGTGAGAACCATACAATAATATGATTCTATTTGCAGGTGGAGGTGGATCTTTTGACAGGAAGGACAGAGATTTTGAGATCAGATATCATTTATGATTGTGGAAAAAGTCTTAATCCTGCAGTTGATTTAGGACAGGTTAGCTATAAACTGTTTTAAATACAGATCTTTCTTGTTTTCTTGTTTTCAAACCAAAAAGAAAACTGGATGATTTGTGAGAAGGTCGAAGGAGCGTTTGTTCAAGGAATAGGGTTTTTCATGATGGAAGAGTATACAACAAATGAGAAGGGGCTTGTGATGCAACAAGGTACTTGGGACTACAAGATTCCTACAGTCGATACCATCCCTAAGCAGTTCCACGTCGAGATTCTCAACACTGGACATCACAAGAACCGTGTTCTCTCTTCCAAAGGTACACTACGTTTATCTTGCTCCATATTTTGTTTGGGGGTCTCTACTTTCATACTCAACAACTTCTTCACATCTCTGATTCACAGCGTCGGGTGAGCCGCCTTTGCTTCTTGCGGCTTCTGTTCATTGTGCAACGAGATCCGCCATTAGGGAAGCTAGGAAACAGTTCCTTTCATGGAACTGCAATGATGGGAATAGAGATGGGTTTGGTATGGATTTTGAGTTGCCGGTTCCAGCGACTATGCCTGTGGTTAAAGGTCTTTGTGGATTGTATAGCGTAAATAAGTACTTAGAAGCGAAGATCCATGGGAAATAATTGAAGGCAAGTGCTTCTTTCGAGTGTTACATTGTACACAATAATGTTATGATTAAGATTTCAAAGAGGGGAAATAAACATTTAGGGATCTTAGACATAAATAATGTTTTCAGAACCAAATAATTCTGAATTAAATTATGAATAACTTTGTTTGCTGTATATGTACAAGCTGCTAAAAACACTTAATACTCCTTCAAATAGTCAAATTGCACGTCTGCAAGGTGGAAGAAAGAAACAAAGTTACATCTTGACATCAATTGCTTGGAGATAAGAGTGCAATAATTTTGCGAGGACATCATCTAGGTAATTTTTGAGATATGAGAAATGTAAATCAAGTGATAATCCAATGTAACATACTTTTTCTTTTTCTTTTCGGTAACACACTAACACTGAATCCAAAATTATATTAATGATAACCATGTATTATTACAATGGCGTTATCAACATCGATTAACAGCTTTACAAAAACATTCAGTCCAACACGATTTATAATTCTTTGCGGCTTATATTACTACTAGATAATAGCACAGAGTGCAGAGTAAAATAATAATTATTTATTTAATATGATATAATTTTAAAATCATATAACAAAATACAACTGATTTTATATGAGCTGTTTATAACATTATGCTGTAATATTGACAAAATATATTTTTTTGTTTATGTTATGAATTTTAAAATAATTTAATTCTATTGTAAATTAATTTAAAAATTAAATAGATATGCGCAATCTGGATAGAAATACGAAGTTCCTCTTTATATTTTTCTATAACCCATGATTAATAACATGATCTTAAAATTTTTTAAAAAATAGAGGGAGTATATTTTGATTAAATTATTAAGAATCTAATGCATTATGATAATAAGAAAATTTTCTTACTACTTTCTCTCTTTCATAATATTAGTTTTTTTAGAAAGTTTTGTTTTGATTCACAATATAGTTGTTTTCATATTTTCTACTTCCTATGAATACTATGTGACCGATTATATTTTTCATTTTTTCATAATTAGTTGAATTATATTTAATTTATATACTAAATGATTACTTTTTAAAAAGAAAAGTTGCTTTTTAATCTTTGTGCTTTGATACAAAACAACTTATATTTTGGAAATAGAGAGTATTAAAATTGTAAAAATAAAATTTGATTATAAAATTTCATAGTCGATTTTAATATTTCTTATACGAATGGAAATGTATATTTACATTAACCCGCAAAATTTATAGTCATAAGAATATTAACTTTTAAGAAAAGAAAATTACTGTGAAATTTATTTCAAATACTAAATATACATAAGGATTAAATAAAAATAGATTATATTTTTTTCTATAATTTTTAATAAATTATTTAAAAATTGTATATAACTGAGTCAATGCTTATACATTCTTAACTTTTTGATTCAATAAAAATATTTTTAATATCAAAAAGTTTGTTAAAATTATTATATAATATCCTTACAAAAATATTTTAATTTGTTACCAAGTTATTTTGTTGTATAAATTAAAATAAAAATATCTATTAAATTAAGCTTCTTATTTTTTTATCATTTGTGTATTTTTATATTGATTTATGAATCATCTATCTACACATCCTTATTTTTAATTTTAGTCTTTTAAAACATACTTTTATTTATTAATCATTTGAGTAATTTATATTTGTTTTATGAAATTCGAATTATAATATATATATATATATATTACTATACGAATGATGTGATGATTTATTTTTCTATAAAAATAAGAGATAAAATATAGTATTTAAAGAAATAATTAGTATGATATATTTTTGGTAAGAATGAAAAAAGAGAATATTTTGATGAATCATCATCAATATGATTGATATAAACTAATGTATAACCAAATTAATATGAGTGGCATAACCTGTAATTAATCTAGTAACATAAGTCTATTTTTATAATTTTGCTGAAAATGATTCTGGTGATGACACATCAGCAAAATGGCACCACTGTAATATTTTACAAAATTAAGGTTATTCTTTAAAAATGCTTCTCTTTTAATATATAGGAGATTTGTATTCAAGACTACTTTTTATAGAAAATTATAGTTTGGTTCAAAAGAAACATGGAATCTCTCCTTCTAAATCTGCTCGGTTTACAGTTTTTGTTGCTGTAGTTTTTTGATGTTGTTTTAAAGTATTTCTTTGTATATTTATCTCAAACACATTTGTTGATTATATCCAGCTAATAGTTTATCACCAAGAAAATACAACGAAGACTTTCTTATGAAGAAAAAGGAAAAGGCTCAGTTGTATCCCATATCCACCACGAGCTGTCAGAGTCAAAGTTTCACATTTTGATAACTCTAACCTAATTCGCAAGCATTTGCTCACTCTAGTGGAGAAGGTCACTAACCAAAAAATTCAAAGAGTTTGGAACTTTTTTCCATTTCGCCGAATACTGGAAGGAATTATTAAAACCTGCAGAAGCATATTTGGGCCAAAGCTTGTTCAGTACTAATTTGCTTCTGAGAAAAATCTTCCAAACTATTAGAAAATAGACCATACCATTTTGCTCACTAGAGGGTCACTGTTTAGATGTGGGAGCCTATAATATCCAAATCTTTCCTATCGGCCATTACCTTCTAGATCCAGGTTCAAGGCATCCCGATTCATCTCTGGGCTGAGACCACTCTCCTTTCCATTGAAAACGATATATAACGTTTTGAAACCCTGGAAATTACATATACAATGGCCAGGTTGAGAGTTCAAATCAATGGTCTGCAACCATTAATCAAATCAAACTATAGTGGAATTCAAAAATGGTAGTGAAGTTACCGCTGCATTGGTCTATGAAAATCTAAAGAGGCATTGCATCCATTGTGCATGTTTGGAGTGTCTAACTTTAAACCCAAAATTGTTGTGGTTACGCAAGAGAAGCTCAAGAAGGCTAATCCCACCAGTCAAGGGCCAAGATCTGGGTCTGGGTATGAACCTCCTCGCCAGGCTGTGAAAGTTAATGATTACATAAGAAGATACTCCTCTGTGGGATAAGGTCCTAGCCGAGCAGGCTCTACGACATAATATCATTCTTCCTTAGCGTGTGGCCCTCTTTGCGGGAGTTCCTACCTTGAAGAAGTGAGGCATTGTAGCAGCTCATTCCGCTCCAGTTGAACGCTCATACCACTCTAGGTCATTGCCTCCTCCTCGGTTTACAGTTTTTGTTGCTGTAGATTCTTGATGCTGTTTTAAGGATTTTCTTGTATACTTTATCTCAAACACATTTGTGGATTATATTCAGCTAATAGTTCATCACCAAGAAATAAAACGAAGACTTTCTTATGAAGAAAAAGGAAAAGGCTCAGCTGTATCCCATATCCACCACGAGCTGTCAGAGTCAAAGTTTCACATTTTGATACATCTAACCTAATCGCAAGCACTCGCTCACTCTAGTGGAGAAGGTCACTAACTCAAAAATTCAAAGAGTCTGGAACTTTTTTCCATTCTTCGTCGAGTACTGGAAGGAATTATTAAAACCTGCAGGAGCATGTTTGGGCCAAAGCTTGTTTCAGTACTAATTTGCTTCTGAGAAGAATCTTCCAAACTATTAGAAAATAGACCATACCATTTTTGCTCACTAGAGGGTCACTGTTTAGAGGTGGGAGCCTATAATCTCCAAATCTTTCTTATCGGCCATTACCTTCTAGATCCATGTTCAAGGCATCCCGATTCATCTCTGGGCTGAGACCACCCTCCTTTCCATTGAAAACGATATATAACATTTTGAAACCCTGGAAATTACATATACAATGGCCAGGTTGAGAGTTCAAATCAATGGTCTGCAACCATTAATCAAATCAACTATAGTGGAAATTCAAAATGGTGATGAAGTTACCGCTGCATTGGTCTATAAAAATCTAAAGAGGCACTGCATCCATTGTGCATGTTTGGAGTGTCTAACTTTAAACTCAAAATTTGTTGTGGTTACTCAAGAGAAGCTCAAGAAGGCTAATTCCACCAGTCAGGGGCCAAGATCGGGGTCTGGGTATGAACCTCCTCACCAGGCTGTGAAGGTTAATGATTACATAAGAAGATACTCCTCTATGGGATAAGGTCCTAGCCGAGCAGGCTCTACGACATAATATCATTCTTCCTTAGCGTATGGCCCTCATTGCGGGAGTTCCTACCTTGAAGAAGTGAGGCATTCTAGCAGCTCATTCCACTCCAGTTGAATGCTCATACCACTCTAGGTTATTGCCTCCTCCTCGGTTTACAGTTTTTGTTGCTATAGATTTTTTGATGCTGTTTTAAGGATTTCCTTGTATATTTATCTCAAACACATTTTGTGGATTTTATCCAGCTGATAGTTCATCACCAAGAAAATACAACGAAGACTTTCTTATGAAGAAAAGGAAAAGGCTCAGGCTGTATCTCATATCCACTATGAGCTGTCCAGAGTCAAAGTTTCACATTTTGATAATTCTAACCTAATACACAAGCATTCGCTCACTCTAGTGGAGAAGGTCACTAACCCAAAAATTCAAAGAGTCTGGAACTTTTTTCCATTCTTCGTCGAGTACTGGAAGGAATTATTAAAACCTGCAGGAGCATGTTTTGGGCCAAAGCTTGTTTCAGTACTAATCTGCTTCTGAGAAGAATCTTCCAAAACTATTAGAAAATAGACCATACCATTTTGCTCACTAGAGGGTCACTGTTTTTAGAGGTGGGAAGCCTATAATATGCAAATCTTTCCTATCGGCCATTACCTTCTAGATCCAGGTTCAAGGCATCCCGATTCATCTCTGGGCTGAGACCACTCTCCTTTCCATTGAAAACGATATATAACGTTTTTGAAACCCTGGAAATTACATATACAATGGGCCTGGTTGAGAAATCAAATCAATGGTTTGCAACCATTAATCAAATCAACTATAGTGGAATTTCAAAATGGTGATGAAGTTACTGCTGCATTGGTCTATAAAAATCTAAAGAGGCACTGCATCCATTGTGCATGTTTAGAGTGTCTTAACTTTAAACCCAAAATTTGTTGTGGTTAATCAAGAGAAGCTCAAGAAGGCTAATCCCCACCAGTCAGGGGCCAAGATCTGGGTCTGGGTATGAACCTCCTCGCCAGGCTGTGTGAAAGTTAATGATTACATAAGAAGATACTCCTCTGTGGGATAAGGTCCTAGCCGAGCAGGCTCTACGACATAATATCATTCTTCCTTAGTGTGTGGCCCTCTTTTGCGGGAATTTCCCTACCTTGAAGAAGTGAGGCATTCTAGCAGCTCATTCCACTCCAGTTCAGTTTAATGCTCATACCACTCTAGGTCATTGGCTCCTCTTAGGCCTAGTAGAACCTCCCCCTCCCACCCCGCCACCGGCCCCCACCCCTCTTAAGAACCTCCAAGCCCCTGAAAGTGTTTTTTACTGTCTTATGGCGTGGCATAGCTAATTAACCAGATGAGTACAAGCTTGGCAACCAGCCCAGGTTAGTGACAGTCAAGCAAACTTCTGTATGTGTGGTGTGTGTTTGTGTGTGTCAGTGGGGGGTGGGGGGGGTGGGGGGGGGGGGGGGGGGGGGGGGGGGGGGTGGGGGGGGGGGGGGGG